CGAATCCTGCATCTCCTCTCTCCTCATACAGCTGCATCCTGTCAACCCTGACGATTCCGTAATTCCACTCCGCTCTGATGACAACGAAAGAGAAATGGAGATGAATGAACCTGTTGGAAGTGCGATAATTTGGAGGTCCCTGGGAGACTTTGGGTCTTGCTCCACCACGAAGGAAGCGTTCTTCGGAGTATCTGGCATTTGAAGCGCTCATGGCATTTGAAGCGCTCATGGCATATGAGGCGTGGTTCCAACTTCCGACCGGCACGGCCGAGCTCGGATCTGAAGGTTTTAGGGTCGTTTCCGTTCGTCTATTCTTTCGGGTTCGCTTTTTCACTCGATCCGCGGCGACATGGTTGCGAGCGTCGGCGGGGACGATCCTACCTTCGCGTGGACGAAGCGGGGGAAAATCTCCGAATTCCCGATCCGTTTCCTTCATTTGCCAGTTCATTCGAAGACGGGCGAGAGGGCTGATCCGAGAGTCCTCTCCGGTCGGTTTCTCCGAGATGGGTTCCTGCAGGGGGGCAGGTGGCGTCTTTCAATCGTCGCAATCGGAATTTAATGCGGCAGCGAATAGGCGGCCGTGCTGCACAAAATATGGTGGCCGAAAACTGACGTTATCCTTCGAGTCGGCGGTTGTGCTTGAAAAAGGGTGAAGAGTTTCTTCTGCGTCTCCGCGCCCAGGACAATAAGTCTGAAATATTCACCAAATATTTGCGGTTTAAAGAATTTCTTTTTAAAATTTCACTGGAATTTGCGAGAGGCGAGAAGAAATTCCGAGAGGCGACCAGGCCTCCACTCACCTCGTGCAGATCGAGCATATCGCCCAAAATCGGCTGCAGGCAATATTGGCACTCGATGAGGCAGGGCTCCGGCTCCCGCGAATTCCTCGCGCCGGTTCTCGGATGGGACCCTGTCGATCATTCGTTTCTCGAATTAGGGAAAAACTTTGCTCAAGGAAAAAATGACGGGAGGGAGCGGGACTCACAAAGGCGTCCGTCTTCGCTTCTCCCAGCATTTCCTGAACGGCAAACCTGGAGAGGGAAATTCTGTTACAAGGTGACTCACTGTCCATCACCTCAACGGTATACATCAAATGGTCACCAGCAATCAAATTTTATGAAATTGTCACCAGTAATCAAACTTCATTCAATTCTTACCTGAAATCAAGTTTTATCAAATCGTTATCTGAAATCAAATTTTACTAAACAATTCGGAACCAGTATTTATATATCCTTCGAAAAAAAAAATTTTCTGCGAAACATACATTTTTTTTTAGCAAAAATAATATTTTTCCAAAAATCAATTATTCTTATTACCTCCTGCGAATCCAGAGTCTGATTCGGGTACTTGCTGGCAGCAGACTGACGCGGCGTGGCGCTGCTCTCATCTTCTGCCGCATTTAGACGCTCATCTCCGTTTTCCCCTTTGGCCTTTAGGCAACTCCACTGAATAAAAAAGGGCAAGGGTAAGTTCACTTTTAAGAGGTTTGACCTTATTTATCTGAGAAAGCTCTTAAGGCCAAAGGTCGTTCCGCTCCTTGAGCCCATATGGGTGACCTACTCTTTAATAGTTTCGCATCTGTGATAACTCAAAAATAATTTCAATAAAAATGATACTGACGGATTCCTTGAACCTCTCGATGACCATCGGACCCGGCAAGCGAGGTCGGCGAGGAGAAGGGGAGTCGTTAGCGGCGACGACCCCGGGGCAATACCTCTGCCGAGAAAAAAAAAATCCAACAAAAATAACGACGATTGGTCGAAAAATAAATAATTAAATAATTAAATGCAGGGGACCTTGTGCAGGTCTCGCATGTCGGACACGACCAGCCGCGAGCATCGCTGGCACCGGACGAGGTCGGCGCCTGTCGTGCCGGTCGGCTCAACCTTTGCTCGGCCGGGAACGGTTTCTGAAAATTCGTTTCCATTTTATCTCGGCTCGTCGGGACTTGTCTTCAACGGGTTGAGGGCATTTTCCAAAGTCCAGGTCGAAAAATGTGACGAGATGAGTGGTGGGATTCCGGAATCAATAACGACAAATCAAAAGTATGAACTCATGAAATTATTACATAAAAAATGAAATTAAATGAAGAAGCTAAATAGGAGTAATCTCTGTGAAGAAGGCATCAAGTTACTTTAATTTTCAGGCTTCCAAATCACTACGGGATATTTAAAACAATAATTGCTTTACCAATTTGGGCTTTCTTGGGGTGCATTTCCTCAGGCGTCGCTGCATCGAGTTCATTCTGAAAAAAAATTAGACATTTCTTTAAGAGACCTTTCTTCATCGGGCAAAGCGTCTGAAAAGACTGTGAAAGATGGAAACTCACTCGAGGAACTTGCCCGTTTTCGTGCGTTGCTTCGACTGCACGCTCCTCTCTACCCTCGTCGTGCTCTGAAGCTTCTTTCACCTCTGAAGAAAAAAACTAAATTTTAACAGGGGATTTTTATGCTGGATTCGTGTGGAAAGGGTGGGAGAAGACCGAGGGGCCCACCTGGAGCAGGTGTTTCCGCGTCGGCGGCTGCCAGGACGTCCGAGGGCAGACGGACGACTGGCTCGGGGTCGTCCTCGATCGGGGAGGATCGAGGAAGGTTCGCTCTTGGGCTCGCGGCGGGGATGTGCCTGAAATGCGTTGGCGGCGATGCCGGATGATATGTGGAGGAGAGATCGAGGGAGGCTTAGCTGCAATTAGCTGGTTTCTTTCGTGGCATGAAGATGTGACCGTGTGAACTGGTCATATCGACCGAAGGGAAATGAAAGATTCTTTTCCGTTGCCCTCGAGCGTTACAGGGGAAGGGCAGTTGAATGCAGAAATTCTCCATTGAAATTCTTTCTGCTCTTTCCTACCTGTTCGACGGAGCGGGAGGGAGCCTGTCGTCTCCGTGTGGGGAGAGGCGCGGAGTCTCGGTCGGTCGAAGGCCCGGGGAGGGCGTCGGAGGGAAGAACGGGACGATGGGGTGAAGCCCGCAGGCAGCCTGAGAGGAACGGCGGGGAATATTCAATTCACTCCAAACTCGACCTGTTTCGTGATCCGAAGAGGGTACCTCGTGACTGGTGATCGAGTGAACGGGGAAGACTTGACAGCACTTCTCGCAAGGGATTTCATCATTTTGTGATGGTATGGATTTGTGGTGACCTGCAGAAAAGCGAGAAGCATGTCGTTCTCTTGAGCTCTCTCTGGAAAGATGAAGGACGAAACGCGAAAGGAAGGGTGGATGAACCGACCGGTCGAAGGAAGAATGGAGGGAGCCTTCGCTTCGCTTCCGGCATTTTCCCCTAGAATCACAAACATGCACGTCGGTAAGACATATTGAGTTGGAGAATTCGCTCGCCAGAAAGCATGACACGATTTCGAGACGGCCGAAATTTAGCCGAGATAGTCGGGTCGTCGAGAACTGACTCGATGGTGCAGTCGATGGATGCGCAGATTCCTTATGAAGATCCCAGTGCTGCAGCTGGACGTACTTGCCGCAGTCGGGGCAGACATCCGTCCTGGCGCCGCAGGCGTTCGTATGAGCTGGCAGGCCGGACAGGGGCATCACCTCCTCGCAGTACTTGCAGGCGCGGGGCCGCTCGGGGCACTCCTCTTCCTAAGGGCAAAGCATTTGCGGTTTTCAGGATGTCTGTCGAATGGCTCTCGGCCGGATGGATCTCGGTCGGATGGATCTCGGTCGGTGCAGGTGACTCGGACCTGGTGCTTCTCCAGCGCTCTCCTCTCGCACTCGGCCTTGCAGCGGGGGCATGGGACGATCGCGTGGTCCTCGCTCGCGTGCCGCTCCATCCGTGACGTCGGGATCGCCTCGTCGCACAGGGGGCATTTCTTCAGGTTTCGCCTGCAGTGAAGCTCGTGCAACTCGTGCGCCGTCGACGGAATGGGTCGAGTGCTGGGCACGGACGATAACAAATGAAGAAAATATTTCTTCGAACTGAATTTTTTTCATCTCGAACGTACCAGTTCCTGCAGATCTTAGTTTCTTCGGGAATCGTGTCGCCTTCGGCTTCCTCTAGAGCCGCTTCAGGCTTATTGCCTTCACGGGCCATACTTCAAAATCTAAATACCGAGGGAAAGAATGACTCCATGAGCCAACAACGCAAAAATTTCGTAGCAAGTCAAATGAATATGATCCGAATGGTTCATGTAAAAAAAATACATATCGGTTTTTCCATACTTAAATTTCATTTGCAGTCCGACAGGTACCGAATTGACTAATGTGACAGCATGCATTTTTCATTTTATCCTTTGTCGATCTGTATCGGTTTGATTCTGAGCACTTCGGCACTAAGACGGTGCTTCGGACTCCCAACTAAGGCATCCGGGCTAAGAAGTATAGAGAAAACGAAATCGCGGGGGGAAAAAATTATATTGATTTAATTGGCTTCAACTTGAGTTTTAGCGGGATTGCACTTCATTATGCCCTCTGAGCCTTTTTTTTATTATGGTCGAAATTCATCGCGCCTTTTTCCAGTTCCCTAGCAGCCAATTGCGTGCGACATTGAATTTGGCGGAATCTGCGACAAGCGAGGTAAGTTAGTCTCGCATGTCGGACACGACCAGCCGCGAGCATCGCTGGCACCGGACGAGGTCGGCGCCTGTCGTGCCGGTCGGCTCAACCTTTGCTCGGCCGGGAACGGTTTCTGAAAATTCGTTTCCATTTTATCTCGGCTCGTCGGGACTTGTCTTCAACGGGTTGAGGGCATTTTCCAAAGTCCAGGTCGAAAAATGTGAAGAGATGAGTGGTGGGATTCCGGAATCAATAACGGCAAATCAAAAGTATGAACTTATGAAATTGTTAAATAAAAAATGAAATTAAATGAAGGAGCTAGGTAGGAGTAATCTCTGTGAAGAAGCCATCAAGTTACTTTAATTTTCAGGCTTCCAGATCGCTACAGGATATTTAAAAAAGAAGGATTGCTTTACCGATTTGGGCTTTCTTGGGGTGCATTTTCTCAGGCGTCGCTGCATCGAGTTCATTCTGAAAAAAAAAGACATTTATTAAATAGTCCTTTCTTCATCGTGCAAGGCACCTGAAAAGACTATCAAAGATGGAAACTCACGTGAGGAACTTGCCCGTTTTCGTGCGGTGCTTCGACTGCACGCTCCTCGCTGGCCTCGTCGTGCTCTGAAGCTTCTTTCGCCTCTGAAGAAAAGAACTTCATTTTAACAGGGAATTTTTATGCTGGATTCGTGTGGAAAGGGTGAGAGAAGACCGAGGGGCCCACCTGGAGCAGGTGGTTCCGCGTCGGCGCCTGCCAGGACGTCCGAGGGCAGACGGGCGACTGGCTCGGGGTCGTCCTCGATCGGGGAGGATCGAGGAAGGTTCGCTCTTGGGCTCGCGGCGGGGATGTGCCTGAAATGCGTTGGAGGCGATGCCGGATGATATGTGGAGGAGGGATCGAGGGAGGCTTAGCTGCGATTAGCTGGTTTCTTTCATGGCATGCGGATGTGACCGTGTGAACTGGTCATATCGACCGAAGGAAAATGAAAGATTCTTTTCCGTTGCCCTCGAGCGTTACAGGGGAAGGGCAGTCGAATGCAGAAATTCTCCATTAAAATTCTTTCTGTTCTTTCCTACCTGTTCGACGGAGCGGGAGGGAGCCTGTCGTCTCCGTGTGGGGAGAGGCGCGGAGTCTCGGTCGGTCGAAGGTCCGGGGAGGGCGTCGGAGGGAAGAACGGGACGATGCGGTTCAGCCCGCAGGCAGCCTATGAGGAACGGCGGGGAATATTCAATTCACTCCAAACTCGACCTGTTTCGTGGTCCGAAGAGGATACATCGTGACTGGGGATCGAGTGAACGGGGAAGACTTGGCAGCACTTCTCGCAAGGGATTTCATCATTTTGTGATGATAGATGGCCTGCAGAAAAGCGAGAAGCATGGAGTTCTCTTGAGATCTCTCTGGAAAGATGAAGGACGAAACGCGAAAGGAAGGGTGGATGAACCGACCGGTCGAAGGAAGAATGGAGGGAGCCTTCGCTTCGCTTCCGGCATTTCCCCCTAGAATCACAAACATGCACGTCGGTAAGACATATTGAGTTGGAGAATTCGCTCGCCAGAAAGCATGAAACGATTTCGAGACGGCTGAAATTTGGCAGAGATAGCCGGGTCGTCGAGAACTGACTCGATGGTGCAGTCGATGGATGCGCAGATTCCTTATGAAGATCCCAGTGCTGCAGCTGGACGTACTTTCCGCAGTCGGGGCAGACATCCGTCCTGGCGCCGCAGGCGTTCGTATGAGCTGGCAGGCCGGACAGGGGCATCACATCCTCGCAGTACCTGCACGCGCGGGGCCGCGCGGGGCACTGCTCTTCCTAAGGGCAAAGCATTTGCGGTTTCAGGATGTCGGTCGAATGGCTCTCGGCCGGATGGATCTCGGTCGGTGCAGGTGACTCGTACCTGGTGCTTCTCCAGCGCTCTCCTCTCGCACTCGGCCTTGCAGCGGGGGCATGGGACGATCGCGTGGTCCTCCCTCGCGTGCCGCTCCATCCGTGACGTCGGGATCGCCTCGTCGCACAGGGGGCATTTCTTCATGTTTCGCCTGCAGTGAAGCTCGTGCAGCTCGTGCGCCGTCGACGGAATGGGTCGAGTGCTGGGCACGGACGATAACAAATGAAGGAAGTATTTATTCGAACTGAATTTTTTTCATCTCGGACGTACCAGTTCCTGCAGATCTTAGTTTCTTCGGGAATCGTGCCGCCTTCGGCTTCCTCTAGAGCCGCTTCAGGCTTATTGCCTTCACGGGCCATACTTCAAAATCTAAATACCGAGGGAAAGAATGATTCCATGAGCCAACAACGCAAAAATTTCGTAGCAAGTCAAATGAATATGATCCGAATGGTTCATGTAAAAAAAAATACATATTGGTTTCTCCATACTTAAACTTCATTTGGAGTCCGACAGGTACCGAATTGACTAATGTGACAGCATGCATTTTTCATTTTATCTTTTGTCGATATGTATCGGTTTGATTCTGAGCACTTCGGCACTAAGACGGTGCTTCGGACTCCCAACTAAGGCATCCGGGCTAAGAAATATAGAGAAAACGAAATCGCAGGGGGAAAAAAATTATATTGATTTAATTGGCTTCAACTTGAGTTTTAGCGGGATTGTACTTCATTATGCCCTCTGAGCCTTTTTTTTATTATGGTCGAAATTCATCGCGCCTTTTTCCAGTTCCCTAGCAGCCAATTGCGTGCGACATTGAATTTGGCGGAATCTGCGACAAGCGAGGTAAGTTTCTTCCTTCGTACAGCCGGGAGGCTAATGCAGAAGATAAGTACTGAATAATAAATGCATGAAAGGGATAAGAAGCGGAAATACCGGATCGGCAAGGCGGACGGCCCACCCAGCGATCGACCGCCCTGTCGAGCATCCGGGAAAAGCCCCCCCCCCCGCCCCTCGCCTCCGCCCCAGCCCCCCCCCCATGCTCGCATTGAATGCGATTTCGTGGGGTCGTGTGCGTCGTTCGATGTGGAGGATTTCCTGTCACGACGGGGGGAAAAGTGGGAAGGGCGAGGGATGGGATTTGCATTTGCACTCAAGGCGCCTTCGTTGAGTCTCCGGACTTTTTTATTTTTGGTCGGAGACAAGGTGGCATTTTCACTCTCATATGCGAGGGGGTGAGCGATGAACGCGTGGAAGGAGCGCTCGTCGGCTCGGATCCCGCGCCTCAAGGCTGCCTGGCTCATCCACGGCCCTGTCTCACATCCTCGCTCCCTCTTTCCTGTTGCGTTCCTCCTCCTGACTCCTGATCTCTCATGCATGCCATAAGAAATATCATATCAGCTGTCGCTCTCATGGTAAGTACGATGCTGAAACGCGGAATTCTCCATCATAGGAAATTTTTCCGTTTATTGAGTTTCTCTCGAGGTGGAGCTTAGCTAAAACTTCCCTTTCCTCACTATCTTTCATAGCTCTAATGCGGTTAACATGCTTTCGTGGAATGGGATATTTTATGCACGAGTCTTGTTCATATACATGCACGAGTAATTGCAAGATTTACCTCTTTGTTCTTGGGGATTACGGAATGTCCTTGGCACAATCTAAAGCGGCGCTATTCACTTCACAATAAAATCAAATTATGGAGCCACTAGAATGAGCACCAGGTCTCGAAAATCTAGGAACACTGAACATGATAAGTCCATACTGTTTCTAATGCCAAGGCAAAAGAAGCACTGCGATCGATCACGTCCACGATGTGTTGTAGGGCTAATCCAAGGCCGTCACTATGGAGGACGGAAGCGTGCAAAATCCTTCTTGCGCGACTATGGTAGATGATGCAATCAATCCATCGAAGTGCAACTGCGATAACTACGTTGAAGTGCACATAGGCGGATGGTCACGTTACACGGTTGATGCCGTTAGCGACGCTGTGGAGTCATGACGTTAGTGTTGCGTAGCTACCAGAATCACAAGTGCCATGAACCCGGCTATTTAACCGCTGAGTAAGGCCGAGTTCATACTCGCGCTGTACAGCATGTACAGCTACAGCGAAATCCAATCCAACACGGGCGTGTTCCATTGGACAGTGCGCAGTTGCAGCATACAACATGCTGTACAGCACGAGTATGAACTCGGCCGTAACCACTCCCAAATCCGTTACGACTGCCGGATGCTTTTATCTTTTATTACAACACGGGCGTGTTCCATTGGACAGTACGCAGTTGCAGCATACAACATGCTGTACAGCACGAGTATGAACTCGGCCGTAACCACTCCCAAATCCGTTACGACTGCCGGATGCTTTTATCTTTTATTCGCATCCGCTGAACACGTTTTGTGTTTATCGTCGATGAAAGCAGGCTGGGCTATTAATTATTTCTTATCATCAAATCCGCAACTGTGGGAATCCAGCCAACACCGACGGAATAGAAAGTGCTGCCATCACAACCAGCAGGCTTCCATCTATAACTTTCCAATACCCCAAGCAGGACGTCAATCGGTATGCCCGTACTACAGCATTGAGACCGTAAACTATCCTTTTGAATCCTCGCATATGTTTTACCACGAATGCAGGAAATTCCAGGCTCACCCAAACGGCCCCACCGGAAGCGACGCGCCGGCGCTCCACGAAATCGCCAATGCTGCGGCCAACGGCGAGTTGAGTCGAACTCTCCCGCCGAACACAGTACGTTGCTGGACTGTGAAACAGCGGTACACCTCCACGTAACGATGAACTGTGCTTCAGATAAGGGCGGAAAGGTTTCGATAGATAAAGTGAGAGTAATCTGCCTGGGAACTGTTCCGAAAGAATCCCAAGGCAAGATAAGATAAACTCATCATCGTTGTATGAAGCATTTTCGCTTCGTGCCTATTCCCAGCGCCTCAGCCAGCCATTCATGGGTATCTCCTACCAAGCCATCTATTTTTTGTGGGCCTCCTTTCCTGAAAGGAAAGAGACCACTTATGGTCCGTCCGCGTGTCTGTGTGTCCGTGCGACACTGGTTGTCCGACGATGGCTAAAAAAATATTGGCCTGATCAATGCGGAAATTGGCTAGCGGGTAGATATGAACTAGATACAGGCTGAGTTTGTTTGGCGGCGAGTTTACACCAAAATTGGCATTTTTATTGCAAATTTTGGATTGGAAATTTGATCAAGGAGAGGAAGGCATGAGAACCAATGAGTCCTTCTGGATGTGGATCACAAAGCGCATGCGCGTACGACCCAGGCTTTGGGCGCGGCGTCGTGTCAGCAACCAGAGCTGTCAGTTCCCTACCGACCTTTGTGGCGAATGGATCCAACCACGCAGAGCCCTCCATCCTCCCATCATTGTTTCGCACCGTTTGTTTATGCTTACCAAATGTTAATGAGAAATGAGGTTTTTGATGGTCGAAGACCGGAAAGAGATGGCATTTTATTCAATTAGGTGACAACATTAGGGTTTCCTTAATTGAAAAGAGGCCAACTATTGGACTGGGCTTGCCTAAATTGTTTTAAATTATTATTCCTCTGGTACAAAGAATGAGATGTGCCAATCTCAGTAATTGTGTTGGAGGTTGTCCTTGTATTAATAGAACTTCTGAATTGGGAGCATTATGTGACACTACACAAAATTATTAAATTAAATTCTATATTAAATAAATTAAACTATCGGGGTCTATTGAAACTTGTGAATCGAGAAAATAACTTTTGCAACCTTTGATTTAATCGGTTCAGGTCACTCATACAAGGTGATTCATGAGTAAGTAAAACGTAGCATATAATTAATGGGATAGAGAGACATTTATTTAAAGTGAAGCGAAAGCTCCGTTCTTGGAATGCTTCCGAGAAGATGCAAGCATCATGAAATTCCTGCAGCAACGAAAATACAACGCACTCTCCATGCTTTCAAGGGTGGCTTCTTACTGCAGGCCGAAAGGAGGAAGCGGCGAATCGATACGGTGGTATGCCCTCCATATATTAATATATGGTTTGATTGACCCTATCCGAGAACTAACTGACTGCAATTACTTCACCTTTCGTGTGTTTGTGGGTTCTTCTTCCACGGTTTTCCCAATGCAAGACTCTTAGCTTCATCTCAGGGGAAATATTGAGAAAATCTCTTTGTAAGAAAAATTTGCAATACTTTCACGTCCATCCACTCATGTGGATAGGTGGTGTATACATACACGGCAGGTGTATGGCAGGTAGGTAAGAGGTGGATTTGGAATCAGGTGGATGTCGAAACTTGTGGAAATCCACTCGAGCATCCCCCAGATGAACTTTTATCAAGGTGGGCGGCTCCATGTGGAAGTCTATTTGCATGAAACTGCCCAGTTTAAGTTGTTTCATTGCAATTTTGAGTTTTTCGAAAAGTCTGAGAAACTTGGAAAGACTCAATCTATTACCACGACCTTCCAACGACCATCCGAGTTGCACCTGAACGTGTTGAACGAACGTTTCATTGAAGGGATTGCCAGCGTTCCAGGAACGTTCTTGGGAACGTTCTGTTACCCGCTTAAATTTCCAAAATTCAAAGGTACGAAATACATTTCAAATTATGCGTTCCCTGAATGATGTGAATCGATCGAAGACGTGAATGTGACTTTTCCAATGGAAGGTCTCCAAACTCTCTTTCTTCAAGATTCATCCAATATATGCAATTAATATTTTCGACGAGTTCCTTTCATCACTTGAATCGCATTCAGTCCAAATGGAGCCCTGCTCCCGTGGCTTGGATCACAGGTCATAATGTAACCGAATGGAGTACTTGTAACGGATGTAACGGAATGAAGTACTTTCAACAGATGGTTGAAAGTACTTCATTCCGTTGTTTGGTAAAGCCTGGAAGAAAAACCGGGGGGCAACGAGTTTCCAGTCATACTATGGAAACTTTCTTCATATCTGCAGTTATTCACGAGTCAGACACGCCCGTCATGGAATTTAATTTCATCAATTATTTTCGTTGAAATATTAAAATATCTTATTAAATATTTGCATCCGCTCCACTTGCTTTCCCATGAAGTTATCTTGAAAGTTGAACTGTCCTCCTATCTTTCAAGCCTCCAGAGACTCTTTGGACTGGGTTACCTCGTAAGACCGATGTTCTCAAGAATTCAAGCATCTTTCTCTCTGGTTTATGAGGAGAAAGATGGGCTACCTTGCGGAAGATGTCGGGGACTGATTCCAGCAGAATCGGGAATAAACGATATAGCGACCAATTTGGCGTCATCTATCGTCGGTTGTGCGAACCTCTGCTTCAAGCCATCGTCAGATGGATAATAATGACATGCTTCAGATAAATATATTTAACCTTCTACGAATGTCCTTGAAATACAGCATGTTTTGTGGTCAAACGGCACCATGACTAAGCTCCAAAAAGGTGCTCATTCTTGTACAATGGACGCCCAAAGACTTCTTTGAAAACATATAATAAATACTCTATTTGCTACTTGGGCAATGTCATATGCATAAAGCTTCCAGGCCTCATTTGACCAGTGATCATCCTTGGCACCCGATCATGTGAATGGGGGCCTGAAGATGATGGAAGCAGTCACAAAAGAGCACGTCATTCTGCAATTCTGAAATTCTGCGTTCCGAGAGATGGACTTCCATGAGGAAACTGCGTATATGTACTTTTTTTGCGGTTCCCGTGTGAACGCAAGTGACCACGAACTGACGAACCGGCCCGGATTTCATCGTGGACGCTTAAAATCCCTGAATTCCCGGCAGCAGATGGGAGGCACTGCAGTTAGCGATGCCACCGGTCCCTTGCGATTACCTCGGCAGCTCTCGTCTCCTCGTTCATCCAAGAGATGGCGAGACGAGAGTGAATCTCCGATTTACGGTGAAAGTTGCCTCCTTTACTTTACGAAGGCCGATTAGCAAAATCGATTTCTCGAAGACACATCATCGACCGATAAGGAAGAGTTCTTTCGAAACCCCAAGTTCACATCCCGAAACGCTTGGCCTGTAGAGTTGTCACGCACGCACGAACACACAATTGTCGTTCGGCCAAGCTAGCGGCCAGGTATATGTTAATATGTTTAACATATATGTTTAACGCTAAATGTTTAACCTCCTTTTTGAACGAGGCAATCAGCAATGAGCCCGATCGGGAAGGCGGCGCAGTGAAAAGTGAAAGGAGTTACGAGGACTTCGGCACGCCGTCGAAGCCTCCAAGTGACATTGCATGTCTTCACGTGTAGTATCCACCTCACCTCTGACGACCTCGGCAATGATATCAAGGCAGCCTCCCATAAGCACCGAGTCTATTTCAATTCCCCAGATCGAAGCAAACTCGGTGCTTCTGGGAGCCGCATCCATCAGCGCCACCATCAGTTGTAGTTAATTGATGGACAAGATGAAGGCAGGCGAGAGTCACTGACAGTTCTTGGGCTGTGAATGACGCGTACACATGGGATTTTATTCAAGGGATGTTAACATTCGATTGTTGTGCAAGTAAATTGGCAACGTGAAGATGTAGCGCGTTCTTGCAGAAATCATCCTCTTAAAAATAGAATCTTTGGCCAATCGGCCACACTGTTTCCCCTTGAGTCCCTCATCAGACCTGGAAGAATCACGAGGAAGTGAATTTTCTCCGGAAATAAGAATATCATAGGTGGAAAGCTAGTCACCGTAGATGCCGATGACTATATCCACGGTAGGAAGAAGTGAAGACTCCGGACACGACTGGAGGAAGTGAAGACCGCGGACACAAAGTCTCTGGGACTCGACACGGTTCGGTCTGTGAATGGCGGCCGGAGGGTTTCTCGAGTGAGGGGAGTCTTCTATGGATAAATTGTTCCCTCCTCGCGGAGTCTCTCCTTTGGGAACTCACATTCATGGACGCCCGGCACCAAATCAAGAGCTGCGCAAGGAAACAATAGAGGCTGGTGAACAAGGTCAAGAAAGAATGGCAGGTTGAATGAAAAGACTGTGAATCTCGTACATGATATTCTATGGCTTTGCAATTCCGCCCAATTGCCCGTGCTCTTTGGATATGTGTTGTTTCCATGAATAATATAATTTTCGGGACATTGGGATCAAAAGTCCTTTAAAAGAAACGTTAAGGTCATTCAAGATGGCCTCTGAAAGCCGATATCACTCAAGACCCTTAATTGGTAACGCCAGTGAGGTAAAAGGCCGATTTTCTTTTCATCGGAAGCATAAATCGATCGCTGCGGTTGCCATATCAGCCACTTGGATGAAACATTGCGAGGAGATTTCGCATGGCAAGTTTTGTGAAGGGGAGAATGGGTGACCCCCGTTTTCAGACATTTAGAGACAATTGGGGACTAGGTTCAAAATGTTTCATCGAGGAAGCAACTCCTTGAAATTGGCGGGAATTTTTTTTTAACCAGGTTTTCCCCCTTCTGTTTTAATAATAAAAAAAAATTTCAATTAAAATGAATAAAATTACCTGAAATAATTTCATGTGAGGTGCCAGAGACTCCATTCATTCAATCCATATAATTCATTTAAAAAAAAATCGTTAGAAATCAGTAGATATGTAAATTTTGAGTGCAGATTGCTAAAATTCGGCATTATTCTGAACTTTGTCTCTACGGGTTTCCATAAATTTACCGAGATTAAGCCAACTGTCATCCCCATCCCTCGGCTTTCATCCACCAGGAACTCCGTGAGGCGGCAACCTCTTGCGGGATTTTCATGGATTCCCTTGTCGGGAATCCCTTCCCATTAAATCCGTGAAGGGTGTTGGACATGTCCTGGCATCAATTTCAGCCTGGGGCGGTTCAATACCGAGGTACTTAACTGCAATTTTTCTTCCAGAAAATCTATGATTCGTCTGATTTCTATGAAACTACGCCTCCTTCTTGAGGTATTCCCCTCCCACACGGACGTTTCTTCCCATTGCTTTGGCAACTCCTACATGCCAGAAGCATCCGAATTTTTTGTAATTATTGTGGTCGAGTGTTGAGTTAACCTTCTTGTCGAATGTCAGTTCTCCTGGCAGTCAATCTTGCAGTCACCTCTTTGAGCTTCAAGTGAATGTATATAACTTTTTCGACGCTTCCTATCCCGATGTTTTGTTCATTTGCAAAGTCTTGGGAGGTAACGCGGCGATTCTCCAGAATCTTTTTTCTCTCCGAATTGCCAGATGTTCGCAGAATTCACAATAGTCTCGGGAGGATGGCCACGCTCAAGGAATAGTCAAGGAATCCTTGACCGGCTTCAAATTTATAACACGATCAAATAGACTTCTCCTCTCCAGACAGTCTTCTCCGAACTGTACTTGTAATCTTCGGAAAGTTCGAAAAATGCTTGAGGGTAGAGCTATAGAGCTTAAGCGGATAGATTTTGCACCCCGCGTTCCTTGCAGCTGTCTACGTCCGGTCTGTGTGAGGCGCGCACATCGTCCCGTCTTCCATTCGTGTCTCCTGCGCGTCCAGCTTGTCAGTCTGCCTCGTGTGCTACGTCCTGCAGGTAGGCCTACTCCTGCTCGTTCTACGAGTTGGACCCATTTTCCTGATTCCGCCTTCAAAGCGGTGGTTCACTTACGACCCTTCGAGCACTTAAATACTTCAAGTGCTTGACAGTGTGCCTTGTTTTGTCTCTTATTCAATTGAAATCCTGTTGCAGACTAGTAGGAAAAAAATTGCGAAGTCGTCATCCATGAAGTCATCAGAGAAGTTGCCCACACAGGGCAACACTTGGGCTCCTAGGGCGAACCCCATCACTATAGAAAATATTCCCTTGACTGTCTGACAAGCTCGTTTTCGAACTCTAAAGAATCAGGCATTCCAGATATAAGGCGAGCATATGATGCAACTGCGCCTCCTAATTGCTGACTCATTTAATGAACATGGAATTTTTCAGATGCCTGCAGCTTTTCCAATCGTAAACTTCCTAAATCCAACTTGAAACACTGTTTAAAGTGTTTCCATGCACGACTCATCCTCTCTTCCCATCACATAAATAAAAGTTGTTTAGGTATTACATAGAAATGGAACAAGCAAGATATAAGGATCCACACACCGACGAAAGAGTTTCTTGAGGAATTGAATAAATCCTGTCGGCTCTTGAAAGAGGAACTCGACGTCGCACTCCTCCTCGTTGAACGTGATCTGGAGTCCCATCTTCGCCAAGTCCTGGAGCGATCGGCTGAATGGATCCCAGTCCTCCTTCGCGCTGATCTCGGCCGTCCACTTGGCCGCCTCGAGGGAGGCCTTCAGCGCCTTCGCCCGCGCGGGCGAGCCTTCGTTCTTGATGAGGAAGTCGATGTACTCGACCGCGGTGATTGCCTTGGGCCTCAGGGCGATCTCCTCCAGCTTGCAGAAGCTGGCGTGCGACTCAAGGATGAGCTTGTGCACTTTCAGCTGGGTTTCTCGGAACCGTTTCGCGATGTTGATCAGCTTCTCCTTGCTCGCCTGTTTCGAGCGGGTTTTCTTCTTCACCACGTTGTACGCGTCTTGGAGGAGACCCAGTGCTTGCAGCCCTGAAACAAAATTGTGCACCTGTCCTTCCTAATCTGCACTTGTCATGATTTATTATTAGGCTTGAATTTATTATTACGTTAGAATATTTAGTAGGATTACGTCGAACGATTTATTATTGGGTGCAGACACGGAATGGAAACCTCAGCTGGAGTCTGGGATATTTTCATTAAATTCAATCATACTGGTATGTGATTTACTGGATATAATGAAACAATCGCTAAAATAAATGTATAATTTACCACAAAAAACCTCCCCATACGAGGGATGATCAAAATGTTCGCATTCCTTGGCGCTTTCGGTTGCAATACACCATTTTTACTTTCCTTATGAGAAGATTGATGTCTTTGATGGTGACTGGCAAATTTTCATCTCAATCGTCGATTAAATATAGCTTCCATGAATTTTTTTCGACGTGCAGCCAAAGGGTGTGCTGAAAGGTTTGAAAATTGAGACGAATGAATTGAATGACGATGAATTTTCTAACCTCCAAAAAGTCAGTTTTTCAAGAAATTTCTCACTAACAAGGAGAATAAAGTCCTAGTGACCCTTCTCAGCCAGATCAGCTGGAAAATATATTCATTAGAGATGAGAAAATGGAAGAAATTGTTTAAAACCTTCCACTGACATGTCGCGACAGGCATATTCACGTGAAGTGGATGTGCCTTCACCTCCGCAAAGATTTCTTTGGACTTCATGCCATTGCCTCTGAATTTTGTCCACTACGTCAGTCGGTGTGAGTGGCCTGTCTGCTCCCTGTTCATTTGTCACCTTTCCATTTTTCCTAGATGCCAGGACCAACTCAAAATGCTTTGTTATGTCGGAACCTTACTTGCTCCGTACAACACCATGCTGTGCAAACACAACAATGTTCAATTTTGCATAAAAGAAGACGCACTTCGCCTTCTGTTGCATTGTTGTCGCCATCGTAATTGCTTCCTAAGGTGCTGCCCCCCCCCCCATATCGTATAAAAATAAAGTTAGGCCAATTTTCAATTTTCTAAATCTACCACTTTTCTGTAAAAAAAAATTTTCACTTTTCGATGAACAATTTTGAGACACCCTGCATTTTATACGGGACTCCAAGGAAAAATTGCGCGCTGGAGAAAAAAAACTTTTCTGTTGTTCTTGGAACCAATAAATGTAATTACTCGTATTTTTCGGCCTCCAAAAGCGTCTGTCTGTTGATGACCTCGTCGCTTCGAAATGGCCGCTAATCGGCTGAGGAAGATCCTCGAAGTCCCAAAAATCAAGCGGAAACATTGCTTCAAGTTCATAATGCCTCAAAATTATATTACCAGAAAGGGATATAGGCACGAAGTCATATTACCATATCTAATATACAGGGTGAATCAAAAGTCACTTACTTTTTTTTCGTGCCTTATATGATCGATTTGTTTTCTCTTCCTGAGCAGTTTGGTATAATTAAAAAATTGCCACAAAGTCTCATTGCCTCAATGTAATAGAGGTGGCTCAAGTTGCTATTCATGTTGCCTGAAAGTCATATTGTCACTAATTGATGTTGCCTCTTAATAATATTACTCCTTTGCAAAGATGGGAAATAGGCTATGCACTAGTTAAAAGTAGCTTTCGATGTGCTTTCTGATGCGACAATCCAGCGTGTCCATGAGTATTTTATTTCATCGATCGATGTTTTTCCTGGCTATTGATGATTTAATTCGGTTGTAATTTCTTGTAAAAATCTCGAAAAGTCTCCAGCTTACACCAATGCCATATTTGATAAACGTTGGCATCCCTGTTGGTTTACTCGGGACTGTACGACGTCTGACACCATTAAACCATTTCTTGGTTATTTGCCTTCTCTCTGATTTCAGCGTACTCGTTACGATCCATAAGAAGAGCATGTCGTCGACAACTAGATCCAACTTTTGCGTTAGAAAATCTAGTTTCATCGTCAGGTGAATTTAACCAAATCGGATATTTTGCGTATCGTCTATCTCACCGTCGAAGACTTTTTCCTGGAGATCCTGGATATTCTTTTCGATGATCTCCCGGTGCTGCAGAACTTCTCGAGTCATTGTGATGCTCACCGGCACGGCAACCAGCAACATGCCGAAATAATTGCCCATGCTCTTCATCATCTCGTCCCAGAAGAATCCGACCGATTTGCTCCTGCTATAGAGGCAGCTGTTGTTGACGTTGTAGAAGCCGCGGTAGGGGATGCCAGCCCGCTCCACCACATTCAGTGCGGGAGGCTCCGAGATGTCGGCGAAGGTAATGAGCAGGTCGATGATGCCCTTCACGTCCTTCCCGAAGATCAGCTGGATCTGCTCGAAGATCATGGAGTGACCGGCGGTCCACCTAGCGGTGGAGG